ACTTTTGGGATTGACTGTATAGCCAATACATCCTTAATAGTATCTCTTCGGTGGTATAAACAAAATTCGGAACAATTTAATTTAATAGTTTTAATTGTAAATATTCAAGCTGATATACATAATGTTTTACATTATATTATTAATTTTAGCTGCGTCCATGGCCCAGTCGCAACCAGCCTCGGTGGTCGATGAATCGATGCGCGCGGAATCGATCCCTCTGTTGGATCAGACGCCTGATATATCCCCGGCTGGCTACGAGGTGACCACGATGAAGATCGACACGGGCGTGATCAGCGACCGAACGCCGCTGCCGTTCGAGGACATCCCAGGACCGGCGGTTCTCAAGATCTGGGAGAAATATTGGAAATACGTGCCGCTCCTCGGTACGCAACTGTTTTCCAGTCTGCTAATCAACAGATTCACCCAGGGTACGATCTGTTGAAGTACCGACAGGCGGAAGTCCAACGAGCACAAATGACATTTATTAAAAATTGATTGATTAATTAAAACGATCTATCGACTCTTTGGATTTCCGATACTCGCGATCTCTAATATTCCGTAGCTAAATCCCCAGTCTCTTCTCTTACTTCAGGCTATGCTGAATATTCCAATCTCTGTCCACGTCCCAATTTTTATTCACTTAAATTTTCTATAATTTTAAGATCTATTAACGATGAGACATAAAAATACGGTGAATAGGAATTGGGACGTGAACGGAAAGTGGGATACTTATTTTACTCGTTTCACTTCAAATGGGTCGCTTTCAGGACGATTGTCGTGGAATCGAAACGTCACGCCTTTGAAGTACTTGTTCAACGAATACGGCTGTATAGTGAGGATCAACGGTCCCCTTTCCGGGGACATCGTCATGATTCACAGGTAAACGTTCGCCAGGTGTGGCATACCCTTCCCCAGTTTATCGTACTTATTGCTTCAGACCTGAACACATAGCGGAAGTGTTCAAACAGGAAGGCGACGCACCTGTTCGAAGCGGAATCGATATCTTGCAACATTACCGGTTGAACTATCGCAAGTATCGACTCGCGGGGCCCTTCTCCCTGTTAGTATTTTACATATTATAATTAAATTTGTTTTAGTACATGAACATAATAAATATTTCTGTAAATCCATAAAATCTGCAGTCTACTTTTAATCTTATAGACTGTGGATTTTTATATAGAGAAAAAAACATGTAAGAAGTTAATATTTCTGGCAATGCATAAAATCTGTTTTAATTATTATGTTTTTATTAATTATAAAATCGAATTTAGGCAGGGCCTAGAATGGTTAGAGATGAGGGAAAAAGTGGAGAAGGACTTCGAGCAAATCGCTTCGTATTCCTTCTGCAAAATCGAAGCCATTTGCGACGAACTTATCGGTAGGATATACAAAATACGTAACAGACAAAACGAAGTACGTACGTGAACTTCCGAATTTAATTTACTTAAATAATACACGTGCGATTGACATGATAATTGTTAAACCAGGTAGCTGGTAATTTCCACGAAGACCTGCTCCGTTGGGCCATGGAGTGTTTCTGTAATCTGACGTTCAACAAACATCTCGGCTTCTTGGAATCAGCCGGATATAATTCCACGTCTGAAGCATCGCGAATCATTAACGCATTGGCGATGGCTCATAAATACATGAGCCGCTGCGAGACTGGCTTCCAAGTTTGGCGATTCTTCTTAACGCCGTTTGCCAAAAAGCTGTTCGATGCCTGCGACGTGCTCGACGGGTAAATCGAAATTATTAGATTAATACTGAAATAATTTCATAATTTGTTTCCACAAATTTTAATTCTGCGAGATGCAGTCCTGAAGACTCGAAAGAAATTCTTATTATATTTCATATTTTAATAAATGCATGAAAGACGACGATTATAAAAATTTTTATCTAATTTTCAGAGTGATCGCGAAGTACGTTCGCCAAGCTCAAAGCAAGCTGCGAACTCGAGCCGGGGATAAGAGTGCAGAGGTCGAGAACAGTTCGCCAATCCTGGAGAAGTTTTTGCTGAACGAAGGCATCCATCCGGACGATATTTGCACTCTTTTAATGGACATGATTATCCTCGGCGTACAAGCGGTAATTCCGGATGAGGAGAAAAAATTACTACGCGTTTTTCTATGCGTTATGGGGACTTGATACAGTTTCGATTCCTAGGCCGCGAATTCGGAGGCCTTCCTTTTGTACTACTTGGCGAGGAATCCGCGGACTCAGAGGAGACTTTACGACGAGATATCCACTGTCTTGCCAAACACTGATTCTCCGTTCACGGAGAACGCGTTGAAGAACATGCCGTACTTGAAAGCTTGCCTCCAAGAAACTTTAAGGTATAAATCTGTAAACTTATTACAAATGGTACACTCAATCGCTGCCAATTGTGTGATCGTCAGGTTGAGGCCTACGCTTCCGTACATTAGCAGACTGCTGCCGAAGACTATAAGCCTTCACGGATACACGATACCCAAAGGGGTAAACGCAATTGAAGTTATTCGTTAAATTTTTACAAAAATTCCTGGATATCAATTTACTTCATGATAATTTTGTAGACGTTCGTCATAATGGCGAATCAAATCACGTCGCAACGCGAGGAGAATTTCGAGGACCCGACGAAGTTCCGGCCGGAGAGATGGTTGGTCAGCGGTGCGAAAGAGGACGTAGAGTTTAGCTATCTGCCGTTCGGTTATGGTGCGAGATCGTGTTTAGGAAAGAGAATGGCTGAGACGGAAATGATGTTACTAACGGCGAAGGTATCAATGATTGTCTGTTAATTATTCAGTAATTGTATTTAATTATTGTTTTCAGCTTATACGACAATTCAGAATCGAGTACGACTACGCCGATATCGGCAGCAAGTTCATGATGGTGAACGTGCCCGATAAATCGCTTCGTTTCCGTTTCGTGGAGAGAAATTAGTAACTAAAGTGACACGTGAGGTGGTTAATTCTCGTTCAGTTAGCATTAGAATAAGTAACAGTAACTCTAATTGTAACTTGTCAGCTACCCATTGATACATTCCTTAAGTCCGTAATCAGAAATAAAATATTGTTCTACACAATTGTTACAAATTCATTTATTTCCTGCTAGTATTAACTGGCTTTTGTTTCACACATTAGCGATGTTTCCAATTAATCGTCTCCTATCATCATGACTCGCATAACCGTAAACATGGAAAATACATTCGAGAGGAACTGGAAAGTAAAGCAGAATTATTTTCTAGGAGAACTTAATTGTGCACGTACGTACCGAACTGAAAAAGCTTAATGTGAGGCCTGACAGTAAACCCGGGATTTTTACTATTAATGGGGCCTGAGGAGTCAAACCAATTAGTATAGACATCTTCAGTTCTCGTGCTCGGTTGTACCAGTCTGATTCGTACAGTCCGCTCATCACGTTCCCACTCTGATTAAAAAATGATTCATTTTTAATTTCATTATTTACTGTAACTTTACATCGACTGTAAAAAACTCACCATATTCATCAAGTAATCGCAGGGCAATGCACAGATAAACGTCTCTGTCAATCCGCTTATGCAGTGCATACAGAACTGTATTTTCATAGTGTCTGGTAGATTCTAATCAGTAATTCATAATGTTAGTCCAAAACCTTGAGATCTTATAAGTAATAAGTAAATTGTGCATTTGATTTATCGATAGAAAAATTAAATATATGTACAGAAAGTATAATAAAAAAATTCTCAATATAATAATAAAATAAATAAAAAATAAATAAAAATACAGCACGTCACTACTTGTAAAAAAATCTCAATTTACATTGCATTATATAAATCGATATTAATAATCCCTAGTGTATTAATAATAATCTTCAATTATACTGACTACGAACAGGCAGACAGCACTAAAGATGACTACGAAAAAGCTCGAAGCGACCGTTATAAAACAATAGGGTAAAGTCGCTGCAATCACTTCCCGCGCAAACCTTTAATTATAACATTATCAATTACTTCAAGTTCTTTTAATATGTCCCTTATTGCAAAGTACATACCGTTTTATATCGTGATACTGCGCCATGCACGTCGCTAACATAACAGCGTCCTTAACGTCCCGCATTTTTATCATTAAAATCTCAAAGCGTGCCGCGCTGAAGAATGTTAATAAAGCCGTCTGTATATTAAGATTTAAATTCGAGACGATCTGCAGGGCGGCGACGCATTGGTGTAGAAGAACGATCGTATGCAGGGGCTCGTGATCGATACGAAACGGATACACTGCGTTGCAGGGCATGGGGTCCGGTGTGGGAATGAATCCAACGATAAAAACAAGTGCCGACACGTAGACCCATACTCCCAACACCCCGTATAAAGCGCAATGGTTGTCGATGTACTTCTGGAGAACGCTCCTCTCGTACAGTTCCGCGTTCTCCAGGTAGTTTTTCACTTCCTCGAGCACACGCTACAGCGCAATGTGGCTGTCAGAAATTTTATCTGTTCTTAAGGTAACGAGTTAACCAGGAGTCGAATAGAACTATTTACTTTTATAAATATATCACTTATTCACCATTAGAATCCATTCAGTCTGAATATTTATTTAATGTTCGATTAATACAAGCGATCATGTATCTCGGAATGCACATTTAAAATTAGCCTAGTCTTTGAATCGATGTTATTTAATAAATTAAATTTGATCTCAACTTCAAAACCTACACGAAAAGTTCTTCGAAGCATTTACTCGAGTTTTTCGGTACAGAGTAAATGCTCTTGAGAATATTAATAGTTCCATTCAAGTCCTGCAGGTAAATCATACCTGAAATCGATCGTATTGATAAACACCGGAGACGGTGTTGGCAAGTAGCATAAAGAGAGCCGAGCTCATCTGTACTGCTCTGGTTACTTCCATCGGGGATTCCTTGTGTACGCGTATCGCGTTGAGCAGAGCGAGTAGAAGCGAGATCGCGTTCATTGTGAAGAATGTTCTTAGAGCTGTGTAACGGATCCTCTCGAACTTGGTCGCTGTCGGGGGAAGCGGCCACAAAGCAGTCACGATTACACTGTACTTCGTAAAGGAAATCGCCCTCTCTGGTGTTACGTTATCGAACATGACGGCGAACGTAGCGTTACGATAGCGGAACATTATGGGCTTAGTTTCATTGACTCGCCCTTTTGTAAGATCAGTCTCCGTTGAATAATACATTTCTTAACATGAGGAGTGCTTTAGGTAGAAAACAACTACTGCTGTTACTATGTAAAATGCAAGAGGTTGATGTGTAATTATTGCGAGCCATGGTGGACTGCACATATGGAGATAATTATACATGCAAATTAGCTATAATTGCTATTGAGAATGCTTTACTACTTTTTTCCACGTAATAGAAGGTATTGATTGGAACTAGACCGCAACCCGTTGATTGCTCTGATGGCCAGTACAACTTTACTCGTTCGATTGTGTATTTGCATCGTGTGCTACAAGGAAATGGATCTCGTATAAAACTGGAAGTATCGTTCGTGATAAGAGAATCGTACGAAACGAAATCCTGAGGAATGTGCATAAAATGTGATTCTTGTTAATATGTAGAGGAAAGCCGACGCGCGAAGAATTAATCGTGTTTAGAACCTCGGTTTTAAAATACAGCGTTCCACTCAACCGAGCCTAGTTCCCTTATGAACACAACTGCAGGTAATCATAATCGTAAGGACAGCTACAATCATAATCGCTAGACACACCTCCGTCGCGTATTTAAAATAACACTTTCTTCAAGTGTCATTTAAATTTTTTTAACATCGCATCTTTTTACAGCTCTGTACTTCTGTACACACTTTGTCAGCAATTCGATGTCCTTAACTCTGTGCGCTTCTTCTATTACAATCCTAAAGAGCCGCGCGGTGGTGAACAGAATCAACGCGGCTCAGGATATGTTCATCGTCATGTGTGAAGCGCACTGCAAAATGGCGAACCCTTGGTGAGCATAGATGATCCTGAAAGGTTCGTACTCGACGGGAAACGGATACTCGGCTTTAGTCGGGAAGGTATCGAGTGTGAAAAGTATCTTATCCGTCAAGTAGAGCCATAAACGTCGAATATTTATCCACGCACTGTTGCAAAGCTAGTTTCTAATGAATTCGCTTGGCGAAAATAAACCTTTAATTCATCGATTAGCATCTTTAGATAGATTTGGGATATTAGTGATTCATATGATTGAGTTGAGTAAATACTGTCACATCGAATTTATTAACC